CTTTCGCTGTAGCTACCAGGGCTTCCGCGGCTTCTGTGAGGTTCAGTTGAGGTCTCTGACTATGCATGTTGTGCCTGGTTTGTCCTCTATGGGGTCTGCGAGCATTATTGTTTCTGCGATTTCGACAGTTCCTGCTAATGTGGCCCATTTTTCCACATGAATAGCATTTCACGTTAGATCTCGGTCCTTGTTGCTCATCGGAATCATTTCTACGATTGAATTGGTTTGGACGGTTCCTTCCGCCACGCCTACCGAGATTCATTCTCGCAAAGAGGGCAGTGACATCTCCTCTTCCCCTTGACATATTCAGTCGGTAGGACTCTGCCTTCAACATCTCAACAAGGTTCTCTAGTAACTTCTGGGAGTCCTCCTTTGTTGCCCATGCCTATTTTCAGTGAGTTCCACTCACTCGGCAGTGCATCAATCAGTCGGGCACATTTTAACTCATTCGGGAAGACTACTCCCAGGTCTGAGAGTTTTTGGAGCAAGATTGTGTAATCCAGAATATTCTCTCCTATGGTCTTGCTCCCCAGGAATCTGAACGAGGAGAATCTTGAAATGGCTGCCTGTTTTTGTATCCCAGTCTGTTTCGCAAACTTCTCAACAATTCTATCCCACATCGTCTTGGCCTTGACGGTGTCGGTTTCGTTATGGAAGAGGGTTGAAACGAGATCTGGACTTATCGAAGTGAACATGATCATTCTACCCCTTTGATTTGCAATGTCGAATTTTTCCATAGTTCTCTTCTCTTCGTCTGTAGCAGTCTTATCTGCTGGGATTTCAGGTCGTACAATCTTCCCCTTGATCACTTCCCAGACGTTTGTCTCGTTTGTGAGCAAAACAATTATGAATGATTTCCAGGCATTATAATTGTGGCCATTCTCGTTCAGAGTGACTGGACAAGTTGGTGGTTTGTAACCCACCGCCTCGGACACCTTGGTTGTGCCGGAGATATCGGGCTTACTGTCCGATACGGAAGCTTGCGTTGCATCAGGCATATTTAAGTCAGAATTTCGTCAATTGAAAGAAGGGGGAAAATTTTCAAAGTTTTTCTCACCAGAGGATTGATTGCAAGTGTGGGCTGAATATACACGAGCACTTCAGAGCACTTCGTGCTGATAACGTGAACAATTATAAAGAAGCCTGGACAGTCTGCTAACTTCAACGAGGCTCACGAGTGACTAAGAAGACGAGCTGAGTTTAACAGAGACGCCGTCCGAGAACGGTGGATCTTGTCAGTGTTTATTAAGCCAATGGTTACCTGTATTTATACCTGAACCGATGTAAAAGGAGGGAGAGTAAATGAGGCACCGTGTAGTGCCCCCTTGAGGTACCTCTCAGTCTATTCAGATACCTACTTACTGTGAGGCTGGTGATTACCTATTTTCAACACCCACGAACTTATTTCGATTCGGATCTCTCCACCGCAGTACATACGCAATGATTCTAACGGCTTCGGGCCATGATGATAATGGTTTGAGACCGAGTACTTGGCTTGAGTTGAATCCTGTGGTCAATCCCACGAAGCATTGAGCTCTTCGTTCATGAGAGACCTCGACCTCACTCGACTTCGGATTCAACGCGTGGGACTCCGGCTTGTCTGTTGACCGCAGCCAAGACGGACCGTGTATCCAAAATTCTCTCAGTTCTTTCGAATCCAGAGCCGAAGCTCGACTGAGTAGATCAGCTGGATTTTCCACTGACCTAATATAACGCCACTCGTCACTCTCGGATGCCTCCTGAATCTCTTTAATCCGATTCTCTACGAAGGCTTTCCACCGATCTGGACGGTCGCGGATCCAGGCTAAAACACAGGCGTTGTCGCACCAGAAGTTTGTTGTGTCGAATTCCCTGAGCATCGCCTGCTTGATTTTCTTTGCGATTCTAACTGCGATGACCGCGCCTAGCAGTTCTAAGCGATGGATTGACCAATCGCCCTTCAACGGGGCTACTCTCGCATTTGCCATGATTAAGGTTGTCACGATTTTTCCTTTACTATCGATGTTTCTTGTGTAGGCTACACAGCCATAACCTTTCAGACTCGCATCGCAGAATACATGAAGTTCTGTAACTCCTTTCTCATCGGTCGACGCGAAATTTCTTTCGAACGTGAGCAAGTTTATTGTATATAGTTTCGCTCCTAAATCCTTGTACTCGCTTAGTTCATCTCCGCAGAGTGGGACATCCCAATCGAGTTTTTTCAGCCAAAGCCTCTGAAGCAGCACTTTGAAACCGATCGTAATAGGAGACACCAAGCCCAGTGGATCGAATATCTGACTCGCCACCTTGAGCAAAGCTCTCTTGGTCGGCCTGCTGCCTTCGAGAAACGCGATCGTCGCCGCAACGTCGATGTGAACCGAATCATTTTGTTGGTTCCATCTCACACCGAGAAACCTCGCGTTGACCTCCTCGGAAGTCACTGACGCATCGGGATAATTTTCCTGAATGAATCGACCGAGTTCCTTCGAGGAAGTTGCGAATTTCTTCAAAGGAAAGCACCCCGCCTTGAAAACCTCAACCAAAGTTGTGACTCTCTTCTTCCCTTCCTCGATCGACTTCGTTCCGAGTAGGATATCATCCACATAGAAGTGTTGTGTGATAAACTCGAGTGGCTCTCGATGCTCTGGGCGCTTTTGCATTTTTTCGGTCAGATGATGTCTAATGCCTGCGCAGTGCAGCCCAGGTGCTGATATCAGTCCGAAGGACAATCTACAGGACTGAAACTCCCTGATGTCGGCCTTAGGGTTGGTGCCAATTCCCAATGGCCATAAGAATCTAAGGAATGTGCGATGCTCGCTCGTAATTTCGAATAGGAGATACGCCTTTTCAATATCGGCGGTGATGACAATTCGCAATTGTCTAAACCTGAGCAGAATTATTAGGATATCCGCAATGAGATTTTCTCCTTGAAACAGTACATCGTTCAGACCGGCCTCGTCTTTGGAGCGCGCCCCCGCATCATTTACTACCCGTACCTTCAGTTTATCCGCTGACGACGCTGCCTTTTTGACCACCGCGAGCAGCGGTAAATAGTGAGCTTCCTCACCTGGTCTCGGCGACCTCGCCGGTTCCACGAATCCCTGCTCGAGGAGGTCATTTATCTCGTCGTCGATAGCCTTCAACAACTTGGGAGTTTTTTTTGCTTGAATGAGCAAACTTCGCAGTCTATTTTCCGCTAATCTGCGGTTGCTCCCCAATGCCTCTTTGTTGGGTTTGAATGGTAAGCTGATAATGCATCTTCCCTCAGGAGATCGCTTTATAGTTTCCCGGAAAAACTTGTTCAGTTCCTCATTAGCGCATTCGTCTTTGTCTTTGAAGAAGGGCTCAATGCCTAACATCTCCGTGCCCCATAGAAACGATAAATCGTCGTCCTCCGGTTTGCACTTCGATCGTACCGCTAGGGACTTCACCGAGTTGTTATCGGGGGCTCTCTCGTCCGCAGACTAAGCATCCCGTTTATTCTTAATGGCTTCCACTAACCATTGATCTGATTGGAATTCCTGAGGAGTCGACGTGCCGCCAAGGAAATATCCGAATATGGTCTCAAACGCAATGAGCCCATCGATTTTCTTAACGTCGAGACCCAGAATGGGGTAGAGAGCATCAACACCGATTAAGATGTCGACTCTTGTTGACCAGTTTCCATCATTCCGATCCGCAATCGGGTGTACCTTGCCATTGAAACTCGCATTGGGTAGACTTCCCACAATGACATTTTCTAGAGTTGTCGCTCTGATTAGCACTTGCTCTGAAGCGGATCTGCTCTTCAGAATTATTTCGACTATTCGTCCCGTGCATCTTCTCGGATGGGCATAACCCGCGGATTGCAACATGAACACGTCCGTGCCCACCTGTTTGGCACTCAACTTATCAACAAGCTCGTTTGTAATGAGCGTTTTCTGGGAGCCTGTGTCAAGAACCACTCTACAGGTCATCTCGACCTTTTCCGAAATCGCCGTCACATAGCCAGTCGGTAACTGCTTCTCGTCTACCGACCTGACTGAGAGACACTTGACCGAGGTCTTTTCCGATTCATCGCTCACGCAGACGGCGTTTATCAATGACTTTTTCTGAGCTGGCTTAACGCATAACAGAGCCGAATGTCTCCCACCACAGTTTGAGCAGTTCACTTTTGATCTGCATTTGTCTGCCCTATGGTTTCTCGTCAAGCACAAGAAACAGGCGTTATGAGTCGAAGCAAGCTTCCTCTTATCCTCTATGGACATTTGTTTCTTACATTTGGAACTTTGGTGTTCTTCTGAGCAGAAGATGCACGAATGGTCTACCGGAGGAGAGGTCACAGCGAATGAATACTGACTGCTCATTGCTCCCGACGGTCCCTCGGGACTGGATTTTTGATTACCGATTTTTTTCTTGAATGAACTGAAGCTCTCTGCTTGGCTTTTGTTCCCGAAATACCTCCCCTTCTTTTCGAACGGTTTCCCGTTTTTTTGATCAGAGGTTCTCGGCTGCGTTAATTCTTCGAGATCTATTTTCTCGGTTTTCAAGAAATCTAGCAAGAGTTTGAGCTCGCAGTCATTGTTTTCGCGTGTTCGCCTTTCTCTCACGTATTCTCTGTATCTCCTCCGGCATCCGAACGGCAATATCTTCTCGATCATGCATGTTAGAGGTGCTGACATGCCCTCATACGAATTGCCTATGGTAATTAATGATTGAATATTTTGCATGACGCATTCTACGAAGTCTATAAACTTAGCATTGTCGCGTAGATCGCTCTTGCATGCCATCATGATGTTTTCCATGTGTTGACTCGCGGCCTTCTTCACGCTGCCAAAGTTTTCGAAGATCGTGTCCCTTGCCGAAACGTAGTTTTCGGCCCGTACTGCGAAGCCTGAGATGCTCCGCAGAGCTCTCCCCTGCAGTGTCTTTTCCATGAACTCGAATTTCTCCAGTGGATCCCAGTCCTTGGAGTCGACGTGGAGAATGAACGCATCTTTCCACCGGCTGAATTTCGTTGCATTGCCATCGAACGTTGGTAACCGTTGAAGAGTTTCCTTCCACGATTTCCTGCCGGAATTATTGCTTTGCTCCATCGTAGAATTCAGTCTATCTTTTTCGACTTGGAACG